CTCTTTCCTCAGAAGGGTATTCATTCTAGAAATATTTATTAAGAACCTGCTACAAATCAGCTACTGGCGGGGCCCAAGGGGATACAGCGCATGTACAATCCCTCTGGCCTTGTGGATCCTCGGATGCTGGTGGTGCGGTGGGGTAAACACTGAGCTACTAACCGCAAGGTTGTCGATTCAAACCCACCAGTCACTCTGCAGCAGAGTGAGGAGGCTGGTTACTCCCCTAAAGATTGAGTCTCAGAAACCCTAAGGAGACCAGTTACATTCTGTCCTAGAAGGTTGTTCTGAATCGGAATTGGCCCGATGGCAGTAGATTTGGATTATTTTTTATTTCTAAAGCCCATTTTCTCTTGATGAGACAATAATTCAAAATAATAATAATAAAACCTACAGCTTGTTAGTTGGTAATAAGTGCTACAGAAAAGGAGTCCTGGTGTGGCACTGTGGGTTAATGCATCAGACTGCAAAGTCGCTTTGGACCGTGATGTGGGAGGTTCAAGCTCACCAGCTGCTGCTCGGAAACCCTATACAAGGTCACTACGTGTTAGAACTGACTCAATGGCACTTAACAATAATGACTATAGAAAAAGAGCAGGGAACAGGATGAGGTGTGGTCTGAGGGTTGGGATTTGACATCACGGGGTCAGGGAAGGCTTGCCCTAAAGGAGAAGAGAGTCAAAAGAGTAGGCTGTGACATGGATTTTACAAGATGACTCTTGCTGCTTTGGGGGACACACTTGGGGGTCAGGGTGCACACAGAAAGACCACGTGGGGGGCTGCTGATTCATCTGGGTATGGTCGGGACTATGGACGGGGCAGTCAGACTCGGAGTAACAGAGTTAGTGGGAAACAAGATCCAATATCAGGAGTGTGGTCCTCCCTGAGGAACTATCTTCAGTGATATTGATTAAGCCCCTTAATGGGCCAGGAGCTGTATTGGGCATTGGGGAGGCAACAGTGTCGCTGACTGAATTGATCCTTGTTCTCCAGGAATGTACTATTTAGAGGGAGGGCAGTCAAGCAGTTAGGAAGGGATGAGTTTTGTGCTGAAGGTATCCAGGTGAGGGAGAGCTCACCTGGCTGCCAGACGTGGAGGCCAGGCCAGGGTTACCTGGCCCAGGGAGCAAGAACAGTGTTTGAGCAGAAGAAACAGCATGTGTAGAGAAGATGGTGAGGCTGAATGCTGGGAGCTTGGCCCGCTAGAAGTGTTTCATGAGGGACAGAGAATGGTGCCAAGAACAAGGCAGGAGAGGAACAGAGCCCTGGATGCCCAGGGGAGGGTGTCCGCTGCCCCTAGAGCAGAGGAAAGTCTTCAAGGACTGAAGGGGTACAGCAGGCTGGGTGGGGAGGAAAGGAAGGGGCGTGGACAACAAGCAGACTAGATCAGGAAGACATGTAAATAGGTGGGGTGCAGGAGGGGACCACTGAGGATGGCCCAGCTTTCTTACTTTCTAACCCTGGGATGGGCACAGGAGGGGGTCTGGTGAGATGTGCATGGGACACCTGGTGGGAACATGGAGAAGCGGGGGTGGGCAGGATAACCTGGTCAGGCACAGACTTGGTCCCAGGGTCTCAGACAGACAGGAGTCACTGAGGAAACTGAGACAGCAGCCACAACTCAGTGTGCAGGGGGCTCCAAGTGATGTGTGTGTGTGTGTGTGTGTGTGTGTGTAGGGGGGTCATGGCTGCAGAGCCTGGCAACAAGTAGGAAGCATCTGGAGCCCTCAGGCCAGTGGGTGCTGGTATGAGGGGCTCATGCTGGCTTCAGGGGCCACCTGCGTGGAGTTTGGGCACAGGCTGACCCAGGGGCAGCTGTCTCTTTGCCTCTCCCCCCCTTGTTCTCTGCCTTATAAAGCCTCATCTCCACCCCCAGCTCCATGGACAGACTCTCTGTACCCTTTCCCCGTCCCTCACTTGCTTCCAGCCAGGCTGTCTGGGAGTACCTTATGGACTCCCAGCTTCATGCCCACACAGACCTAGCAGGCCTCGCGCCCAAGACTTGGCAAAGGCGGGGCTCTAGGAAGGCCTTGGAGCAGCCAGGTAACGTAACAAGGACACCTATAAGTGTAGAAGTGAGGCCGTGTCCACAGCGGCCCGAGGTGTCCCTGTTTTACTCAGGGTCATTCTGTCACTGGGGGCTAGGGGGTGGCGGTGGGGGGAGTGTGTGCTGATGTCCCTGCAGTTTAGTGGACAATGTGAAAATGCTGGTCACCAAGCAACTTGACCTGTAGCCTTCAGAGATTAGCCCTGCAGCCAGACCGCCAAGATTCTGGCTGTGACCCAGATGGTCTGCAACCCAAGCCCTCCCCATCTCTTCCCCGAGGGTACCTTGAGCAAGTTAATGTTTACAAGCTCCAGTTTCCTCCATCTATAAAATGGGAACAAGAGGGGCACGGAATTCATGTTTGCTGGGAGGATTAAATGAATTAAACAGTCAGAAAGCTACAGGCGAGGTCTTCATGGTAAACCATGTTAGCTACTGTACAACCAGAATGTATTCCAAGTAGCTACAACTCCCATAACTAAGTATTTGCAAATCTTATCTGATAAGGTTTAATATGTAGGATGTATTTTTAAAAAAAACTCTTACAGCTAAATAGTTGTACATTATATATCTGATTAGGTTTAGTATGTATAACACACAAAGAACTCTTACAATTAAATATTGGCAAATTATATATCTGATAAGGTTTAACATGCAGAATATATAAAGAACACTTAGAGCTAAATATTTGCACATCATGTATCTGATATGAGTTTAATATACAGAATATATAAAGAACTCCTGAACCTATATGTTTACAAATCCTCTATCTATTAAGGATTCCCTATCCAGAATATATAAAGAACAACGGCTGTACATAGTAGACACTCAATAAAAATCTGTTGAATGGGTGAGTAGATTGATGGATAGATCGATGGATGGTGAATAGATGGGTGACTGGGTGGGTGGGTGGGTGGATGGATGGATGAATGGATGGATGAAGGAATGAATGATGAGTAGGTGGATGAATGGATGGATGAAGGGATGAATGATGAGTAGGTGGATGGATGGATGGATG